ATCTTATTTTTTAAAACCTGTTTATTGAACAGTTCCCACAACACAAGGATGTATTATCAAAACTCACATTTACAATGATTTATAGATTCGAACAGGTCAGTAAGAAACATTAACCAAACAATACAGGCTCGAAATGCATACAGGTCTTTAATAACAATAATGCTTTCTAGAACTATACTAACAACAATACAGCTTCACACACACACAACAAAAACAATAGAGACAAAACAAAAATGCACATTTATGGACAGAGTAACTGAGCTCGTAAAAAAGATCTTAGTATAAAAACATTTCTTCGTCAGAGCGAAAAAAAACCTAGCTTGCTAAAAATAACGAAATTCGTGTCTCACACACACTAACAGTAGGTGCTCTGGTGCACAGGTTCTATTTGAAAATGCACGTACAAAGGTATCAATTGATGGCCGGTGACTTCGTGTTCGAGCACATATGTTCGTTCGGTAAGTCCCCCAATTTAGGTCATGCAAGGACATACCACAGAGCACTGTTAGCCTTATCAACCTAATAAGCGAGAACTGACCAACCAGACGAAATTGTCCCTAATTTTTGAGAAACATGACATTAATTAAGTTAAAAAAATCGACTACACAGTCGAACAATTTTGTTTTGTACAGGAGTTCTTTCTGTGGGAACGATCAGAGCGTGGATAACACGCGCGAGAGACTAGCCACACCATATAATGCACGCACGAGTCTTCGCTCGCTTGTGCTGGCCAGAGTCACCCGCACATGCTTAAATACAGTGCCTATTTAGACTGGCTAGTTATGTCTTAACGTAGGCACCACTGCACCTCATTTGGAGGGGTTTAGCAAGGCGTGTTTTGTAAATACCGCACGGCAAGAAATCGTACTAAGTGTACAAATTAATATGTCTTGACCACAGCTAATAGTGAAATGTTACGAGTGACAATCGTCACTTCAAACTACAATACGTAGACGTCAGGCAAGTTTGGCAACCCTAAAATAGAAATCATCCACGGCTTAAAGCGAGCCTAATACTAAGGTAATAAGCGAAACAAAAGTGTTTCCTTTCCTAAGCTACATTTGGTATCTGCAAGAATTTACACGACACAAGATTTTTTAAACCCTGTGTCAAACACCTCTTAAAAAAAGTTTTTAAACGAAAAAAAAAAAAAAAAAAAAAAAAAGGCGGATTTAATTTTAGCATCTGCGCGAACGTGGCTAATATATGATTACAAACGCTGTCCATATCCATCTTTTAACCAAAGGTTTGCCGATCCCACGCACACACCTAATACCCACTTCCGCTGCCATAACTTCCGTACTGCTGCTGTTGTTGCTGTTGCTGATATCCCGCATAATAATTCTGGTAATTCTGGTAGGTCTGTTGCTGTGCCGTCTGACCGTACGTCTGCTGCTGTTGTTGTTGCTGCGGCTGCTGCTGAGCGTAGCCGGTCTGTTGGTATCCTGTGCTTGCTTGGTATCCCTGGTTGTAGTTGTAGTACTGGTTGTAGGCCTGGCTGGTGTTGTACTGTTGCTGCTGCTGAGGTGTGTACGAAGCCTGTGAAACTTGTTGCTGCTGGTTGTAATTTTGCTGGTTGTAGTTCTGCTGGTAGCGAGGTCTCTGTTGTTGATTTGACTGTTGGTGTTGACGGTAGGACGACTGCTGCTGGCGGAACCCTCCACCGCCATAACCTCCACCTCCATAACCTCCACCTTGTAAACAAAATAATAAACATTTAAATAAAAAAAATAAAAGCACAAAATGAATACGGAATCTTTTCACTCCCAAGACCGATTAAATTCTACTTTCTTCTTACAGCATCACAGCTGAATCAAACATTTAGGTCATGAGAATATAAGAAATGATAGCACACCACTTGCACTAGTCTTGTGCCCCTCTCCCACTTCCAGTGGTTACGAGTAAAATCCGTAAAGCAAGCGTTTAAGACAATAGGGATACCTGTATTGGCACATGAGTATGTATGTATATATTGATACTCATAGACGTCACAAGTACATGTATAAAGCTAGCCGATGGTGGAATAGTCAACGCTGATTACGGTGAGAATTGGAACTGCAGCAAAAACAAATGCTCAAGCAGTTGTCCCTCAACTGTGCTTGTTTGTTCATCGCTGCTCATGACGTTTCATAAGTTCTTCACTCGCAATTAATTATCAACGTTTCCTTGCCAAGAAATAGTCACAGCAAATACATTGGGCGGATAAAACTTTCACGCATGCATTAAAAAAAAACCCGCACAGTACCTCTTCCTCCACGATGATCCCTCCTGTCATGGTATCCTCCTCCGCCTCGTCCACCTCGGTGGTAGCCACCACCCCCTCCATGACCGTGATAAGAGCGACCTCCAAATCTCTGGTTATAACCTCCACCTCCGCCTCCACGTCTGTAACTTCCGCGGTCATCAAAACCTCTGTCCCTGTTGTATCCTCCACCATGTCGTGGTCTGTCTTCAAATCTTGACCGTTTGTAAGGTGGCTCTGATCCTGCACCTGAGCGGCTTCTGTAAGAGCGACCTTCTTTGATGTATTCATCAACGACACTTTTCGCCTTGCTTTCAGGCTGATCAGCATACACAACTTCATCAAAAAATTCGCCAACTTTTGGTAGAGTGAAACTCACTGTAAAGAAAAATAATAATAGATGAAAGTAAGTATCACATCGATTTTTTTAATTTTTAAATTAATTTGCCCCTTTTCACTGCTTCCGTGTCCACTAAAATCCCCTCTTTCAGCCTACATCGTTCTCAGGACGTACCAGAAGCGTTTTAGATGGTTATCATGATGGATGAAGAATGGTGACCAAATGACTGAATTGTCGTTCTGGGTCTGAGTCCTGGCCCTCACACGGGAATAGATGTGGATGCTAAGGAACTTTGCACACCCCCCTCCCCCTCTCCTTCTAGGAAAAAAAAAATGTGGCACAGGCATTCCATCCAAGGGTATTAGAACATTTCTAGTCATCATTGCTATGGAAAACAGGAAAGAGGATAGACATGATCGTTAACATACTTTTCATGTCACTAACTGCATTTTCAGGCAGTTCAATGCCTTCCTTCTTTCTGTCTTCCGTCCTCTTTTTAAGATCTTCTTGGGTGGGAATGCAAACTATAGCCTTCCTGTTGAATCCTTCAAAAGGCCTCATCTTCTTCTTTTGGGCTGACAAGTACACATTGGTCTGGCGAACAAAACAAAAAAAATACTAAAGGATTTATAACAAATAATGCTGTCAAACAGGAAAGGAAGGGTGAATAAAGTGTTCAGCAGTGTGTGAATAACCCTTTACCCCTTAACATCAGTATCCACATTCTCCATACTATTCACTATACATTGCCCAAGATGCTGACAAAGAGAATTTGTTTAACAATCAAGAACTGCTTTAGTTTGTGATCATTTCCTCTATTCTCATGACATTAATGTTTGATTAAAGGGTGATATTGTAAGGAGAAATTAGATGCTAATCACTCTTAGGGGTTAAAGGGTTTATGAAGTCATCCCAATTTAAATCATTATGGGATATGATAAGAATCACCATCAATTTGAGGGAAACAATCAATCTCTCAGCTGCAGAAAATACCAGCTGATATAACACCAGCCTGGGGAGGTTCACTAACTACATGTAAGTAGCCTCTAACATTTTTGTAATAAGAAAATAACCTTCTTGTGTGGAGTAATCTTACCTGGTCTAGAATATAATTCCTCTTCTTACTTGCTGCCAGCTCAAATAAACGGTGCAGACATTTTGCAGCCTTGTCCATCAACTTACTATACCCTCCCACGTCTCTTTTCCTGGCCACACCCATAATCTGAAAACAAGTCAAAAGGTCAATTTCAAAACTTATCAACTTCTTAAAGTTTTCTCTTCACATGGATGGCCGCTTAGATAAGATTTTGGTCTAAAACAACAACTTTTTCAGACATCTTTCAGCATCATGCAGAGCCATTTCATTGTACAGGGGTTTCCATAGCTTTTTCCATAAGTGGCTGCCAGTGGTGTAACAGGCAGCTGTGCCCAAAACAGGCCCTAAGGTGAAACCAAACACAAGAGCCTGCTTGCAAGCTAAGCAGATGCCAAAAACTGGCTTTTAATGAGCCCCCACACCCCCTTAAACAAAAACAACCACAAAAAAAACAACAACAACAAAAACATGATTCAAGTACATGTAGGAACAAGCATGAAAAGGATGGAAACTAAAAGAGATTACAACTGATGACCACATATGCACAAGATACAGCGTCACAAATCAGCTCTTTTAAACAAGAGAACTTAAAAAAAAAAAAAGGAAAGAAATACAAAAAAAAACTGCTAAGTGTAAACCACAAGATACTAAATTATACACTAAGTTTACTTCCAAGCTGACCAACAGGTTAATACAACAGAGCCCTGCTACCTCAAACACAATGAACTTCAACCCCTGGGTACCTCAAACTTGATCCAATTTCCCTTGACCCTGGTTTTTCAGTGGTTTACTATCAACTAACCCAAACCCCTTCTAATTCAAACCATTTTTTGTTTCCCTTGGCAGTTTGAGTCAGCATGGTTCTGTATCAACAACTGCATTTACCTTCATTTTCTCCATGATAGAGTTTGTGCCCAGCACATTGTATTTCTTGTCTGGGTTTTCACTCACTTGCTGGTTCACCCATGTTGTCTTTCCTGACCCAGGTAACCCTACCATCATTATCACCTACAAGTCAAGAACAATGTGTCAAAACAAAGTTTTATTTAAGAAGGGCAGTAACAAGGGAAAATTCTTCAACACAGGTCATTGAAAGGTGCAGAAAAATGCATTGTGTACATTCAAATGTATAAGTGGAGGTTCATCACTGAGCAGTTCTGTCACAGTTACCAAAGACTTGCCTCGCACTCATTTTTAGTTGTGGGTCCTCTTGTGCCATGGACCAAGAACTCTTCACCAACTGACTGCATGAAGGTGTAACCCTCCTTGGCAGGGAACCAAGGCTCCTCCTTAAAAAAACAAATGTGATCCATAAGTCAATTCTCCCTATAGTATCCAAACAATATCCAGCAAACAGGTCATGAGAATACTCAAACTTTTAACTGAGATCCAAGTTGACACCTGAATTAACATTCCAGTGATCAAAGATTTAAAAGATGACGACCTTTACCTGAGATCCAAAGTTGACACTGAACTCAGCGTTTTTAATCAGGACATGAGGGTAGAGGGCCTTGTCTTCCAGACCATCAGTCAGTTCATAAGCTTCTCCAAGGTCTTCACCATTTTTGCTGAAGGAAATTGTTTTAGGTTCACTCTCCAAATCCTAAAACAAACAAATGAACAAATAAATAAATAAATAAGAAAGAGCTCTAAAAATTTTCAGCTTGTTGGTTTATCACCAATTTTTCTAACTGACTTCTAAGTCTTGTTTGAAAGACAAATGTTGCATATTGATTAATAGTAGCATAAATCCACAGCATTCTGTGACGAATGCCCAAATCTGATTAGCAAGGTTACTAGTCCTAATCTGTGGAAAATAGCAAGTAGCCTTACACTGCAAGTGTGCAGTTGTTAACCTTTTACACCCTAAGATCAGTTTGCAATTTATCCATACTGTTCTCTATATGCTTCCTTAGGTGCTGACAAGGAGAATTTGTATAACAATCAAGAGCTTCTTTAGTTTACTATTTCCTTGATCCTTGTGACCTTAATTTTTGATTCAGGGGTGATACTGTTGGGAGGAATAAGAAACTTATTTCTCTTAGGAGAAGAAGGGTTAAAAAATATAATAATAAAAAAGAAAGAACCAATCTTGTTATGTAGTTTTGAACCACATCTTCATGTAAGCATAATAGCCGATGAGTGCTTTACTTTCATCAACTATAACATGGTGGACATCTGGAGCCCATTATCTGATTGCTACTTCAATCCTGGTCGGGCCTTGCAAGCATTAGTAGACTGTTGACCAACATTTTTGGGAACCCTTGTTAAAGCACAAAATGATATTCTAACTCTTGTGTGTATTGACCAGTCTAACTCACCAAATAACACCCAATCACATCCTCAGCACCAAATGTTTGCCCATATTCTACAAACTCTGAGTCTGTGGCTTTCTTGCCAGATGAGTCATACCCATATGAAAGCTTGTCTTCTCCTACAGGAAAAAAAAATGCCAGGAATAAAGTTACAGTTTAATGTATCTTCACCCTTGCAAAAGAGCAAAAAGGCTGTGAAATATGAGTTGACAAAAAACTGGCATGGGATGTGACCAAAAATTATCTCTCAACAAAATTAATCACCTTACTTAAATCTTGTCCATAATAACAACAGCATCAGGAAATACAAATATTTAAGTGCTCACAGTTCACGCCTGGCCACAAGATGATAATAAGGCAAGACTCTTTAAAATCATTCACCCTTTAAACCCCGCAAGTGACCAGCACCTAGTTTCTCCTCAAAGTAATACTGCTAAATGACTCACTTAGATCGTGAGAAAAAGGAAATGGTCCCAAACCTAAGGAACCTTGATTCTTACACAAATTCTCCCTGTCTGTCCCAAAAGAAACGTAGAGAGAACAGTATGGAGAAGATGGATACTGATGTTAAGATGGGTACACTTAGGTCAATAGTTATTCATTTGAAGTTCACTCTCTTTCTAGAATAAATTGCCAAACCCAATAAAAAACTCACAATTTCCCCACCAGCTCCTCTTACTAATTTGAAATTAAAAAAAAACGTTACCTAACTGAAGATTGGCAGAATCAGTTGACCAGCCTACTCTGACCACATTCTTAGGATCTTCAGCATCAGGGAGTTCGACAGATGCAATCGCTGTTACCTAGGAAAACAGAAATAACACTTGTATGACAATGGTGTATATATAGTGTAGACACCTTTAATTTCAAGGTCTCCTACTGCTGCAACAAAGCCATTTCCCAAATACTGCCACAGCTCAGTATCACACTACATATTGTCACCACAAGACCCTCACTAATACCTTCAAAGGGATACTTATTCACAGCCAATCCCTTCAAACATTTCCTTCAATTTGCCTGACAGTTCATCATTGACCATTCATACTCTTACTTTTGGGGAAATAGTTTTGAAGTGAAGTGCCTTTCCCACTGACATAACTTATATGATAACCTTTGCCTAGACAGGTTGTCAATTTAGCTCCTGAAGCTGCAAGTTTGGTTGCCAAATTTTTTAAAGTCACTATAGTGGCCAAAACAGGCACTTCTTAAATCATTATTCCACAAGAACACTTTTAATTTTTAACGAACACTACTTCTGTTGAATTGTCTTGTCCTAAAAACCCCTGAATCCCTATATCATCGAGTAATTCCCAGTCGACAGTTCACCCACTCCTTCCCCCTGGACTTTTTGTCCACGCCTTTACCTTGCATTCAAAGCAAACTTTGCCTGTAGTGACACCCCAGGTTGCTCTTGCACCAGCTAGCAGATATGAAAACCCTTCATCCTCCAGTGGTTTTCCACTCAAGCCATCTGCCGCAATTTTCAGATGCAGGTCGCTGTTGTCTAAAATACAACCAAATGCGAAAAAAAAATTGAGAACAAAATTCTCATAAGTGTGCATGACTCTGCTGGCCATGCACTCCTACAAGCTAAAACAGATACCCATACCTCTTCCGATATTAGTTCTCAGTTGTGAATTGGTTTTGACATGCTCCTTGAAAATCTTACTCTTACAAGTGTATGTTACACATTGTACTCGCCATTTTGGCCCATCCACTTACATTTGTCCAAGACGACTAAAGTGTCGTCAAGTGGAATCTCTTCATCCTCAGGTTCAACTCTACTGGAGGGAAAAATGAAAATGTAGAAAACTCAGATGTGAGATCAGAGCGATCTGCATCTAGCAGACGCCTTTTCCGATGGTTGATCTTTCTCCTGGCAGTGACATAAGCACAGATAGTCATTCCAGAGATCAGTTTGTAATCAAGCTGATTCCAATAGAATTGTTGACGTTTCCAGAGAAAGGAAACACCATTTCAGCTGCACTGTCACCACTGACTCTCCAGCTTTAATTCCTTACCTGGCCTCGGTGGAAATCTCTACATCATCATCAGCATCCTTCTCTGCATCTCCCTTCTCTCCTGAAAAAGATTACAAAGTTTACCTTATGAATAAGGGACTTATAACTATGCTATATTACTATTAGCTGCTACATCTACTGCTGATTCAAGTAGTAACATAAGGTTGAACTATCCAGTGTTAGAGTCCTCTTAAATCCATACAACTCCATTAACCATTCATTGTCGGATGGAGCTCTCCACAAGACTATATCTCCATGGATTAACACATGTTAACTACAGTATCTAATTTAGCCAGGTTTTATCATCAATTCCAATGCTTTGTGCGTGGTACACCATGTTCCTCTTCTGTCCATTCGCCACACAATGAATCCATCATTCCCTCACAAATAGAAGATGCAACCTTGATTCATATTTGATGGTTGAAAAGTAACTGATAGTAAATGCATCCAGGTCATTAAGACCTTGCATCTTCAGAATCTATCCTCAGATGCAGTTACTCACTGCAGAGCTTCTCCTTATAACTACACAACAAAGTGTAAATTGGTCTTCATTTGACACTCTGCATTTCTCAAAACCAAACAGACAATTGCACTTGTTGTACAGCCTTAAGCTGTAATTGCAGTTTTTCTGTTTTCTCATCAATGGGAAAGGTCTTGTTTCCCAATGCTTAAAAATGACACGTAGAGCGAAACTGAAGTGAGTCACCGCTACCTTAAACACCAAGAGACTTGCCAGACAACATTCCCACATGTCAAGTGAGTGGCTCTGACGTGGGGTGGTCCCTAGAGTTTGAACAAAGTTGGCGCAACACAGGTAAACACAAAGCACAAGGCATACATGAAGCTGCACCTGGAATGTTTAACCCTGATGTGTTACAGCATTCTTAATGAATTACAAATAACTGAAAGTGATATGTTGAGTCCCACTGGTTGGTACATTGGCATTTTGAGGGTATTTTGCAAAATTCATATTTTTCTAACAGCTTTGAAAACATACCAAAAAAAAAAAAAATTAGTGCTTGGAGAATCGTGCAAAACATAAACCATTTTACAAGAGAATCTTAGTAATCAAAAGCAGACTGTACTAAGGGGGCTATGAGGACTTCCAATTGGATTTAAAAATTTTAGACTCTGTTTATTAGTTCTTAAATAACATATATGCAAAAATACAACTAGTCATAGTAACATTAAAATCTTGAACTTTACCCAGATGCATCTTCCACTATGGAATAAGGCTTATATGTATTTCTAAACCAATTCCTTCGTGCTCATGGTACAAAACTTCTAACTGCTACGATTCATCTTTAACCCTTTCATTCCCAAGAAAAAAATACAATTTTTCATTACTTTCTGTCATCAATTTCTACTAATTTGTGTTTTGAGTGCTTATTCAAACAATATCCCCTCAACAATATCTTTTTTCCTTTTCATCATCTTTCAGTGTTGAAAATGTATTGAAACCAAAAAGACAAATTCCTCTTTTGTCACTCTTGGAAGTGAAAGATTTACATAAAAAAATTTCAATTTTACAATACAGTTTATAACATGTATATTTAAAGTTGAACCTTTTAAGTTGCTCATTACAATTTAGAGACCATAATTTTCTGATTGACACCACTAAACCAGAGGCCTTGATGTTTTTTTTATCAGAATACTACTGTTCTCATTCAGCATATTACAAGATATTTCCCTTATCAGCTCCTGTATGGATCAAATCTACAAATCATCTTAAGTTGTTGTATAACTGTAGAATAACAGATACAAAACAAAGGCTTGTTAACACATCATGCAACCTAAATCTGGACATTTAATCTGTTATAAACAGTATGTGCATACAGGATTGTCTCTTATTTTTTAACCAACTGTTACATTGGAGATATCACCCAATATCACCAACACCAGTGTGATATGAGGTGAAGTATAAGGTGGCCGCAATCAACATCTTTTAACATTGAGTGAGCCCAGCTGTAACAGATGTTAGATGACAGTTTATGACCCTTAATAACAGACCTATGCATTTATGTTGTATTAGCGATTGCATTGGTGTATTGTTGTTAGTGTGGTAAAAAATAGTTATGCAACACTTTCTCATCGCTAACCTACACTATTCCACTTGTCAACTGTTTTTCCCTGGTATAAATGATTGCCTGAGAGCTTTTGTTTATTTCAATAAAATGAAATTGAAAAGAAAATTTGTTCAAAAGTATAATGTACAAGAACTGTGCTTGGGATTATGTAGGTCCTCAGAATGACTACTAACACTCATGGAAAGGTAGAAAGGTCGGTATCTTTCTCCAATCTGACACTTATCTAAACAACAAAGGTTTTTGCAACTATGCTTAACATATCAAGGGACTAAATACCACATGAAAAATTTATTTCAGTCCATTGCAATTATAAAATGATTCAAATCTAGATTCAGCAGCCTTTTGAGTTCAACCTTATAACCCTTAAGACTGACCGCCATCTAATTTTTCCTCACAAAGTCATGAAATAAAGGAAATGGTCAAAAGCTACAAAAACTCTTGATTATTAAATAAGTTCTCCTTGTCAGTTCCTTAGGAAATAAATGGAGAACAGTTTGGAGAATATGCATACTGATGTTACGGTGCAAAGGGTTACCTTAATGATAAGCAAAAACTTCACAACTAACAATTGTTCCTCTGCCATTACTTTCCAAAGGGACTCAACAACATTTAAATTTATTTCAAGCTCTGCTTTTCTTTACAGCTTGTTTATGAAGGGCCTGATTGCATTGAAATATTGAGAGGTATCATTTTCATCCCTTACTCCTACACATTTCTACCCGTGTTTTCATTGTAACAATTCTTTGGGAACGTATACTATAATGATGTGACACATTCCCTCTGCATTGAGGATTAAAGATGATCCTGCAAGAACATGAACACCGAGTACAAAGTGTGGTTCTGTCATTAACTATACATGTGATAGTGTGTCTTAAAACCCTAACACTCTCAAATACAATCGTGCCTTGCATTTCTAAAACAAACCCCGAACGAAAACCTCCACCTTCATATGGTCTGAGCGATGACCATGTACCATCTAGCAGCACTCGTCTCAGTTTGAAGTATACTAGATCAGCTCTTTCATTTCTGGATCTCAGAGAACTTTTCTCTTTCAACCAATACGTTACTATCACGTATGTTGTTCCTCATGAATAATTTATTTGATTGAAAGAAACGCGATGTTATCGAATAGACTTGACTAACGTGGGAACAGAGACTGGAGATCTTAGTTGATTAGTTGACTTATGATAGATGGGGAACAACTGACATTGTATCAGAGGTGTTGGGTAATAACGATGATTAAAGGAAAACTTCAAAATTACCAAGTAGCAAAGTATAGCGAATCATATTTTGAGAGAACTTGTTGATTATGCAAACGTGAAATTCTTTAATCGTACCTTCTGTTGTTTGGGATGTTGAAGCACTTTCTTGACCCGTCTCCATTGGTTCTGCGGACTGAACAACATCTTTTTCAGTTTCTATAGCACTTTCCTCTTTCTGAAGTACTTCCGCGGATTCTGCAGGCTTTCCGGAACTTTCCTCTGTGGGCTTTTCTTCCATTGGGACGTCTACAGTCTCCAGATCAGAGGCTTGATCGGCGTAAGAATTTTCGGCCACAGGCAACGGTTCTTCAACTTTCGATTCCGCGTCTTCGACGGTGTTTTCCTCATTTTCTTCCATCTGAGTCTCCTCTTTTTTTTCGTCAGCTTCCTCTTGTCCTTGTGGTTCCATGGCACTTTCTTCCGCAGCACTAGCACCATCCTCGTCCAACGAATTGCCATTTTTTTGACCGACGTTGGAAATCGCTTCGAGCAATCGTTCCACAAGAACCGGTTTGTTTCCCTTCGTATCTAAGCCCCGATTTTGCAATTCTGATCTCAGCTCTGCAACTTTGAGCTTTTTAACGGTTGCTTCATCTAAATCACTCATGCTGCTAACTATGTTAGGAAAAACCTGAGCAATTTTATCGAAACTGACTCAAAACTTTATTCCCACACGTGCATAAGTTGGAGAAAAGTAACAAGAGTGCCTTTTGCCCCCCCGCGAAGTCCTAAAACGCATGCGCATCATTAAAGTAGTTTTACTTCGGACAAAGGGCGCCTCATTTTTTTGTTATTTTTCCACCTCGAGCGATAATTCAGGCTATTTTTCTGCATTTTATATTAATTAAACTTTTTAAAACACAAAAAATTCAGTCTCTGAGCAAAATAGGTCAGAAATGACGAAGAAAAGAACTCATTTCTAAGCAATGAAAATTGTTACGAGCCTACAATTAATTTGTTATCTTACTCAGCGGTTAATCGCAGAAAGTATACCGCCATGTTGTCTGATTTCTTCATCTTGAGTTCTCGAGGAGATACGCTTGTATATCGCGACTGTATCCTTTTCCCGAGCTTTTTTTGACAAATATGGCTGATTTAGGGTTTAATTACACTGTCTGATTCTAGTTTAAGCTCTTGCCGAAATGTTATTTCTTTTTTTTTCTTGTGAAATGCACTTTGAAAAGTAAGCTTTGAAATCGATAGTTAGATCTCTTTGCTATTCTCTCACTTCATCGATTTCCATCAACACTCGATAAATTTATTTTATCAATTTTTCACGGTCAACGATTCCTGTTGACCGATGTTGACTAGGGAGTTTCTGAATCTATATTTGATATCAGTACATTTTTAATTTTTTGCCCATTTAAATTTATGTGTGGGACATCTATCTTAGAAAATGTTCACATTTTCTTCCAAGGTTCTGAAAACCTCTAGGCTCTTCTGGCACTGTTTATCAAATAAACCCTCAAGAAATCAGTGGGCGCTGCAGGAAAATGTCAGTTTTTTGAGGAGTGAAGGGGGTGGGGATTAATACGAAATGAGACACTAGGGTACCTTACTGATTCGGGGAGTCTATGTTTCTGTAATCATGGTAAAGCTTTCCTTAATTCATTCAAGACAGAGGGGATTGTGTGAAAGGAACCCCAGACATCTTCTACAGGAAAATAAAATCTGGCAAGGAAAGTCTCCCTCCAATATTTGTGAGTTACTGGAAAGAAACCAAAGAAACCTAACCTAAGCTTAACCCTTTAACCCTTTCACTCCCAAGATCTGATTAGTAATTCTCCTTACTATCAGCCATACAATTCTTATGATGTAAGTTCAGAGAATTTGGTATTGGATCAACTAATAATCCCATGATTGATATTCATCTCTATTCTCATCACCTGCCTGCTTGATATTGTATTGACATTGTAAGGAGAAATTCTGTCTTGGTCACTTGTGGGAGTGAAAAGGTTAACTCCCAGAAGTGATTAACATGTAACTTCTCCTCTATAATATCCATACATTATCCAGCAAACAGGTAATGAGAATACTCAAACTTATCAGGTAGAAGTTATTATTTTGATCTATGGTGTTCTCCCCTATTTTAAACATGACAGGTAAAATAAGTTTTCAAACCAGTAAAGCAATCATTTTACCTGTTGAATTTTCAAGAATTCCAAGCAATTTTAAATGATAATAAGAGGTACTACAGGTGGTAAATGTTACTGGTTACTGCCTGAAAAGGAGAACACTGATCTAATACCAAATTCTCATAATTAATTTATGAGAAAATGTGTAACGGCTAGAGGAGAGAATTAACAATCAGATTTTGGGAGTTAAAGGGTAAAGTCTTTTTTTTTTTGTTATCTAGAAAGAGTGTTAATAGTGGAGCTTGCAGAGCATAGCCCTATGATTATACAAAATAGTAGTAACCCATCAAGCCAAAAAAATTTGGTTGTACGACTGTACAACTGTACAAGGTGCTACTTTTAACATGCGTGGTCAACTATACCATGGGCACGCCAATGCCACAGCTTTGTCCAGTAGTCCAGTGGTCAGTGCACTGGGCTCCAAGTTGGACGACCCGGGTTCTAGTCCTGGCTGGGGCAAGGCTTTGTACCCTTGAGACTAGCAGGGAAAAAAAAATTGTGAACTCCGCTTTTAGGCTTGGCTAAATCTATATATTACTTGATTCATGAGAGTGACCAGCATCTAATTTCTCTTAATAATATTACCCCAAAGCAAACATTAGAAGGTCATGAGGATAAAGGAAATGCGCACCAACTAAAAAAGCTCTAACATCAGTATTCATTTTCTCCTTAATCTTCTCTATACAATTTTTTTAGTACTGACAACAAGAATTTGTTTCACAATCAAAGCTTCTTCAGTTGCTTATCATTTCCTTTATTCTTATGCTCTAGATGAATGATTCATTAACATTACTTTAAGGATGAATTAGATGCTAGTCATTCTTAGCAGTGAAAGGGTACAACTCTCCTTGGCAGCACCATAGGAGATGTATACAGAACAGTATGCACAACATGCATGAGGATGTAAAGGGCTATAGAAAGTGACTAAAGTAATGATTTTGATTACTTCCACAGAATGTTGATAGTGTCAACTTTATCTTCATCAAAAGAAATGGACTCTACTTTGTTTCCACCACAAAGTTTAATATTTCACCTGCCTTTGGTGTTGAAGTACTAACAAGGTACAAAGTTATGTTATGAAATTAACCATTTAACTCTCATGAGTGACCAAAACAGAATTGCTCCTAACAAGTATCAATATAATTTCAAGCAGGCAAGTGACGAGAATGAAGGAAGATATTAATTAGGGGATTATTAGTTGATCCAATACCAAATTCTCAAGTCTAACATCACAAGAACTATATGGCAGACAGTAAGGAGAATTGCTAATAAGATCTTGGGAGTTAAAGGGTTAACTGAAGAGATTCCTGGTTGCCGTACGTCTGTTTAGTACTACATCACAAATTGACATCAAGAACAAGAACAAAAAAGTGACTCATGAGGTGCAGTCAAGTGTATCACTGATGTTCTAAACACATTCTGACATTGTCTGTGATCTATATCTGAACAGACCCACGACTACAGGGAATCTATTAGTTTTATTTAATAAAGAAGCAAAAAAGTTACAATGGTGATGCTATTATGCTTCTGTCCTTTAATAGATCAAAAGTAAGAACCAATCTTTATTTCCTGTGTAATTTTTATTTGCTTATTGTATAATAGAAAATGGTTAAAACTTTTTATTGAACTGACTGTGCATTTGGTACCTGCTTAATTTACAATTTGTTCACATGAGAGACAAATACATAAAGCAAACCTAGTAAAAGGAAGATAAAAATTGTTTTTTAAAAATCACAAGGCTGTGCTCTTTAGAGGTTTTGGTGGGATAGACAACTTATATTTTTCACTGGACAACTTTTACAACTTGATACTAGTGAAAACATAGAGGGTTCGGCTATAGTGTAGCTGTGTTTGTTATTCTGCTGAGAGTACTGTATGTCCTTAGTATCCTTCAATACCCAGAAGTGATTAACAAGTTACTTCTTCCTATAATATCTATACCTTATTCAGCAAACAGATAAAGAGAATACTTAAACTTATCAGCAATGAGTCAACTTGTCTTGACCAAACACCAAATTCTTGTAAATAATTTACAAGGAAATGTGTAGCACCTCAAGTTGAGAATTAACAATTAGATCTTGAAAGTTAAAGGGTTAACTGGAGATAAATGTTTTTGTAGAATTTCAGATCTTTGCAAGGATTACTGTGGTGTTCTTGATGAAGAAGCAATCAAATGTAATTTCCCTCTTATTTACGAGTTGCTGGATGAAGTATTGGTAAGCTGCATCTTCCTTTCACTCTTAATAGCGATTAAAAAGGAAGTTCTCCTTACAATAATACCACATTTTCTAACAGAGAGGTACTGGGAAAAAAGAAAAAAATATCAACAATGGAATATTGTTTGATTAAACACCAAATTCTCAGGGCTAAAACAGTTCATTCTTTTCTAGCAGACACTTTTGTAAGCAGACACTTCTACTTACAAAAAATATTCGAATTCCCATTTTTGCTTTCCAGTTTAACTCTGTATTTACACATTTCTGTGAGTGGACACTCTATTGTAAGCTGTCGTGGACACTTTTTTAAATGAACATTGGATTTTGCTTTTGTTTACACTCTCTTGTAAGTGCACACCCCACCAATAATTAATTGACTATTGGCAAAAAAATTTGCCTTCAATGTGCAAATCAACAAAAGACAACCCTTGACAGAAAATTTGCCAATGGTGAAGTAAGCTGTTGATTAATTTGAAAGTAACAAGAGTCCAGTATATCACTCTCCAGTAAGCAAACATCTGCCCACGGTTTCTTTGTTTTCCCCTTGTGAGAATCATCTTCAAAGGCTGACAGTTCCTCTAATTGACATTTTTGTCCAATTCCTGAGGATGTTCACTTATCAGAGAGTTTACTATATTTCAAAAAGAGTTTGGAGAATTGGTTTTGAGGTCTTGCTTGTAAATAAAAGGGTTATAGAACAAAGTTCTTCTATTTCCATTAACTTTCATCATTGTGCTTTGAAAAGTTCTAATAGCGATAATCTTGCCTGCTTTCAAGATTTTCATCATTGTTTACTTCTCCTTTGCAGGATTTTGGGTATGTCCAGGTTACATCAACAGAGAATCTCAAGGCATACGTGTGTAATGTCCCTGAGGTAGCCACAAGATCAGAGGAACCACTGTGGCAGTGTACTGGACGAGTAGTAGTAAGAACTTGCAATTCCTGTTGGGGAACAGAGCATTTGATCCTAGTCATCTGAATTGTTAATGCAACCAACCATGTTGTAAATTTTGTTCTATGAGTCTTTCCCCCTGAGCACATCCCTTTTTTTTTTGACAGTATGGTACTGATAAGATGTCTCTGCCAAGTACTGCTGCTAATAAGCCTGTGGTTCTTCCAAAGATGATACAGGTAAGTGAGACAATTCTCCGAGTTAGACTCAACAAGGGTAGAGGCAATATGCCAATCTAGAAGGGCTACAGTGAAAGACACTTCCTTGTGGATTTCTGGCCACAGCTGCTTATTAAACCCCTGCAGCCACTCAGGGAAAAGCTAGTGAAATTTATGCAGACTCCCACTCTTTTACATAATGATATTCTGAAAATAACCCAGACCATATGTTCGGTTTATCATGC